GGTCGGTATTCAGATTGTTGTTTCGATCTCCTCTCATATTTGGATTGAGTTGGACGTTGCCGCTTTCATCACACTCTTGACCTCTAGCCATAAGGGCACTTAGCAGATTCAACATCAACTCATGCTGATTAGAGCCATATTTCGGCTGATCATTATCGGATCTCACATATTTTCCGTGAGGGGAACCGACCTGCTGATTTTCTTGCTTGCATTGGGACCTCCTCCCCAGAGGCGTATTCTTCTGCCTGACGGTATTCCTCTCCGCCTTCGTACCCTTATATGGATGGACCAGATGAGATACTCATTGTTCAGATTTGGGTAGTCGGCCCTACCTTTTGGTGCTGCTGCTCCCTCCTGATGCTGACTCTTTGTCTGGACCCCTTTCGGACCAGGATCACATTTTTTGGTGTTATTTACTGATATTGTCTCGTTCTTTTTCTTGTTTCTATTTGTTTTCATTTATTTGGACTGTTGTTTTTTGGACATTGGACTATAGCTTTGCGTTTTCCAGCCCATATAGGGTCTTTTTGTATATACAGTTGGGGGTTCGGCCTTAACCCCCCACCCTCCCGGGGTGTTGTTGTAATAAAAATAATAATAATAATAATAATAATAATAATAATAATAATAATAATAATAATAATAATAATAATAATAATAATAATAATAATAATAATAATAATAATGTATATTCAATAAAATGACATTTGGACTTCCACAATTTAAGTGAAATACTATATAACAAGTATGTTGGATTGACCTGCCTAATAATAAAACGTCAATCTCATAGTAGTATTGAAATAATTTATAATATTTTTATGTCAAATTTAAGTAGGCAAGAACAAATAACACGGCAGTATTATTTTTTGATTTATTAAAAAATGATATATTCTTAATAATTTGTTTTTCATTCATTTTGTAATTTACGTTAAACACTTAAAACTATCATACTTTGAATTTTCACATGACAATAGTGATATTAGTAATGCCAAATTGAGTCGAATACGTCGTATTCGAACTTGTGCTCGTATAATAGATGAAAAAGGTTGTCTCCGATTATTTAATAAATCGAGTGAAATCATTTAAGTTTAGTTTGTTTGAATTAATTTTTCATTTTAGGTTTTACTATATGAATGAGTGAAGATTGACTTTTTACGAACTGAACAGAGTTGTTGTAACACCCCGCTATGTCATAAATATCAGAGTTAAATTTTTGTAAAATCTTTTCTAAAAATACTTATTAGTTTGCGAAATCGTGATTCGGAGTGCTACTAAAATCCATTACTTTGCTTTAAAAATCCGTTATCTTTATTTTAGCTTTGAAAAAAAACGGATTATCATAATAACAATTCGACTTGTAAATCGGATCAAAATAGATAAGTTTAAAAGACAGTAGCGTCAGCGGAAATCATAGCGTGGCAAAACATATATACAAAAATTGTATAAACATGATCTCGAACCGCTCGTCAGCTCACACCTCCGGTCTGACTCTGTGACCTGAAAAACATAGATAAACATGGGGCGTGAGCACTAAAATCCACTGTGCTCCGCATGAACTCATACTAAAGTAAACAGTGAATATAATAACAATATCATGATCAATAGCATGTAGAAACGTGGTACCGGTACAATATAAAAACATGGCATGGCATGGCATAGCATAGCTGTAGCATAGCTACAATATCTGCCAACACAAACGTGTTGGACACCATGTGCACACTCTAGTGGGCAGATAAAGCCACTAGAACCTAGAATGGGTTTACGCACCTGGACCGGCTACCATTCTAAGCGGATACATAGCATGATACATACCTCAAACATGGTAGAGTAATTATAATTAATGTAAGACCCAGTCTGAGTCCCCACCTGAACTGTCGATATGAAAATGGTAGTGTTGATGACTGTAGACTGATCAAACTGTAACATGATATAAACAAATACTAAGTACTATGCTCAGACTAATTAAAATACCTTGTTAAGATGTTAAGATGCTCGACTCGAACTGACAAGACACCTGGACTTAATCAGTATAGCTGGAACTAGTTTAAAATGGAACTGGACTGATATGACTGAACTAAACCGGACTGGACCTGGAATTTAACTGAAATTTTGACATGAACATGAACCAGGTACTAAAACATGTGATAAACCGGTCTGAACCGGTCGGTTCGCTGGCTGGCCGGCCAACCGGCTCAGTCCCGCGCTGGCCTGCTGAAGACCGGGCGCGGTCATTGGCGTGGACTGGCTATGGCCTGACTGCTGCTGGGCCTGGCCGGGCAGCTCTGGGCACGGTCGTGGACGATCGTGCATACTGGCGTGCGATCGGGCACGATTGACGTCGACTGGACCTGACCTGAGCATGACTGTGCACAATTGTGCACGATTGCGCACGACTGGCGTGTAGTTGAACCTGACTTGGGCGCTGGCGGGGCGACTGGCACCGTGCGCACACATAGAACGGCCATCAGGCACTGTTGAGCATTGCTGACGGTCGGCTGGGTTCATAACATAGCATCTGGGCACTGCCAAGTGCAAGTGGCACTGCGGACAGGCGACTAGACACTTGGACGCGCGAATTGGCGCTGACTGGCGTGAACTGGTCACAATCAAGCGCTATCGGGCGACCCTGACGGCACATGGCGCTCGGGCGTGCTGTTGGGCACTGGCCGAGGCCAACTGGTGTGTGACTGAGCGCACTGACGTGTGCTGGGACGTGCCGGCGTGCCCTGGGCACTAGCCGACTAACGACTTTTGCGGGCAGAGGCTATACGCGATGCCCGACTGGGCGTACCCACATCACCCGCCCGACTTCGACTGATTGCCGGTATGCTGCGGCCGCTGTGTGCGGGCAAAGCGACTACGACCGGTCCTTGCTAGCCGTCCGGCGACTTTCTCCGACAATTATAACATGGATGATCATAACTTAATATAAAATGACCAATAATACATAATTTGCTCGGAGGATCTTAAATATAACTTAAAAATGGTTCTATGGACTTAAACCGTGCTATATGCACGATCCATGACTTCGACCGATCCTCTCGGCCGTTCAATAATTTCTCCCGACAATTAAGACATAACTGAGCATAACATGACATATAAGGACCATTATGACATGAATTGTACTAGGGTTGCCGGACATAAATGAACATAGCTCGAGACGACTTAAATAGCACAACCGAGAGAAACATGGTGCCGTACATGGGCTTAGCTACATGATTTTCACATAAGGTACCTAAAAATGATTATAAATAGATAAGAAGAGAGTTAATATGGTTGTATCCTCTCAATTGCTCAGACAATAGTGCGTGAGTTCTCGAGATCGTTCGTCCGTGTGCGTGTGCACTTGCGGTTCTTCCTCTCGGTTGCTCTTGCGATAGTTAAATATAGACTAACCTCTTATTTATTTCCTTGCTAAACTCAGTCTTTTTGCTTGGTTTTACATGTCCATAAGCTTACGGTAATTCTATATAAATAATGGAAGAAGAAATTTGGTAATATAAGATTAAAAGATGTGGCCAATGATGTGGTGCCATTTGCTATGCAACCATGCCTTGGTGGCATTTATATTTGCTTAGTCATTACCTCACATACTAACTATAAGCCACATAAGATAAGTAGAATGATGGCATATGTGCAACTTGCACAATAGCTCACGCCAATTTAACATTTGTGTTAACTAAGCTTAATTGGCTTTAAGCTAGAAATAATTGGTTAAACTTAACTAAGTGGGCGTGTAGTATATATTAATCTCTCGGCAATTGAGCATAGCTTGGACAAAGTTAAGTACAATTTATGCCAAGCTAATCGTGCACTTCTTACTAGCAATGACGTGCGCATAATCGTGCTATTAGGCTAATCATGGACCGCAAACGAGCGTGCTTGTGCTAATTATAGCCGATAGTACTTGGAAAATATTCTAAGTATAAATTTAACTTAGGCTAGAATCTTGACCGAACTTAGATAATTTCGGTCGAAACTTGACTTCGAAAATTAATTCGAATAATCATGACTTAGAATAATTAACCCTGACTGATAACATTCGATAATAAAATAAATATTATCGAACTAAACACATAATTTACATTAATAACATAATGGGCTATTACAGTTGTATTCCCTAACAAATCAGTTATAGCAGCCCATAGTATAAAATATTTCTGGCTCGCCCTTGATCTCCACCCTCGACCCTAGAAGGGTCCAAGGTGATGTGGTGTGTAAGTGTTGGGCTCAGATGCGCAATGCGGAAGATGTAAATTAAAATATCAAGGTAAAATGGTGAATAATAGTCCCAATCCCAGCAATTCAAGAATGACAAAAGAAAATCTCTTGCAATAAAACAGGAATAATTCTTTTCTGATGTGGAAGATCAGATTAAACTGCGACCACAGAGCATACTAAGAATATCCCAAATAAATAAAATATGCAAGAAATAAGACACCAAGATTTAACGTGGAAAAACCTCCAAATAGAGGAAAAAATCACGGGACAACCTTCGAACAATTCCACTATATTTTCAAGATAATTACAATATCTTTTCAAACTCCCTTACACTAGAAATGTAAAATATAGTGACCCAGTGAGACCCCCACTCTTAAACAAGAAGTAATAGAGTTGATACCCAACCCGGTGTATTTTTTTCTCACACTCACAGGATTTACTCGAACACTCTATTTTTATCTCACTGAAAAAAAACACACACAGAAATATTTTTTCTGCTCTCTTATTCTCTCTTTTTTCTTCTGCTTGGTGCATCTTTCATCTGCTGAAGACTCCCTATTTATAGGGAGAAAATGCTCCACTTCGTCAACATTTTTGGTAACCTGCACAACCAAAAAATTGTCCAACCACTAATAATTTGGCACACTAACCAAGATTTAATATTTTTCTTTAAATTTGGTGCCAACTTTTGTTTGTTTGATTGTTCACATGGGTTGGCTTAATTTGGCTGGATCTAACAATTCTCCCCCTCCAGCCAAAGGGATACATTCTGCAATTCTTCACATGCATTCCATGTCGATCAACTCGGCACAAAGCCGAAGCTTTCCTCCTGTTACAACTTTTGTCATCATGTCAGCAAGATTTTCGTCAGTGTGAATCTTTTCTAACTTGAACTGTTGTTCTTCCACTGCTTGACGTAGCCAATGATATCTTACATCAATGTGCTTCGTGCGAGAGTGGTACATCGCATTCTTACTTAAATCCAGTGCGCTCTGACTACCACAGTGGATATCGTACCATTCTTGCTTCATTCCCAATTGTTGAAGAAACCTCTTCAACCAAAGCATTTCTTTGTCTGCTTCTGTCATTGCAATATACTCTGCTTCAGTAGTTGACAAGGCAACAAATTTCTGCAATTTAGATTGCCAAGATACAGCTCCCCCTGCTAATGTAAACACAAACCCTGAAATAGATTTTCTACTATCCAGGTCACCTGCCATATCCGCATCTGTATAGCCTTCAAGAAATGGGTTTCCTTTGCCGAAGCTCAAGGACTTATTTGCACTTCCTTTTAGGTACTTCAAGATCCACTTTACAGCTTCCCAATGATCCTTCCCAGGATTGAAAAGATACCTGCTAACAATTCCAACCGCGTGAGCGATATCCGGTCTAGTACACACCATGGCATACATCAAACTCCCGACTGCCGAGGAGTATGGAACATCCACCATAGCTTCTTTTTCTTCTTGACTCGTAGGACAACTTTGTTTGCTGAGTTTGAAGTGATTGGGCAACGGTGTATTGACCGCCTTAGCCGATTTCATGTTGAATCTTTCCAGAATCCGATTCACATACCGTTCTTGCGATAACCATAACCTCTTGGATTTTCGGTCTCGCATGATTTGCATGCCCAAAATTTGTTTCGCAGGGCCCAAGTCCTTCATCTCAAAGGACTTCGCTAATTCCTTCTTCAAATCACCAATCAACTTCATATCATGTCCCACTATCAACATATCATCTACATATAACAAAAGGATAATGATCTTATCACCTGGAAATTTCTTAACAAACACACAATGATCTGCATCAGTCTTGGTATATCCATGACTCGCCATGAACGAGTCAAATTTCTTGTACCATTGTCTTGGAGCTTGTTTCAGTCCATACAAGCTCTTCTTCAATCTGCAGACCATGTGCTCCTTTCCAGTCTTCTCAAATCCTTCTGGTTGCTCCATGTAGATTTCTTCATCTAGGTCTCCATGAAGAAATGTAGTCTTCACATCTAGTTGTTCAAGCTCCAGATCCAAGCTAGCCACCAATCCGAGTACTACTCAAATAGAGCTCATCTTAACAACCGAGAGAATATCTCATCAAAGTCTATTCCTCGCTTTTGTCCAAATCCTTTCACAACTAAGCGAGCCTTGTACTTCAACAGCTTGTCACCATCTTTTTTAAGCTTGAACACCCATTTATTCTTCAATGCTTTTCTGCCTTCCGGAAGCTTCACAAGCTCATAAGTTTCATTTTTCATCAGTGAATCCATTTCTTCTTGCATAGCTTTCATCCACTGAGATTTATCCTTATGAGTCTGTACTTCTTCAAAGCTTTATGTCTCCCCTTCTTCAGTGATGGTAATATACGTGGAACTAGGGTATCTCGTAGATGGTTGGATCGCTCGATTGATCTCCTGAGCTGAGGCGGAACTTCGAGGTCTTCTTGCTCGACACCTTCACTATCACCATCTTCTATTGCTGGCTCACCATCAACCCTGAGTTCTCCATCACACTCTCCCCCTGTTGTGGCATCTCCAGGAGGTTTGACTGGTGAAAGATCCACCTTTCCACCTTGTTTCTTATTTCTGGTGAAGCAGAATCAGACATAGTTTCTTGCTCATGGAACACTACATCTCTGCTTCTGATAATTTTTCGATTTTCTGGATCCCATAACCTGTAGCCAAATTCCTCATCTGCATAGCCCAGAAATATACAAGGAATGGCTTTATCGTCAAGTTTTCGTCTCTGTTCCTTGCTAACGAGAGCAAAATCTTTGCATCCAAACACCTTTAGATGAGAGTATTTAACATCATGTCCGGACCATACTCTCTCAGGGATATCAAAGCCCAAAGGAACAGATGGAGATCGGTTGATCAGGTAACACGCCGTTAGAACAGCTTCACCCCAGAATGGCTTAGGTAGCTTAGCCATTCTTAACATACACCTCACTTTCTCCATAATGGTTCTATTGACTCTTTCAGCCACACCATTATGTTGTGGGGTTCCAGGTACAGTCTTCTCATGCCTGATGCCATGCTCGGCACAATAATTCTTGAATTCATGGGAAGTATACTCCCCCCCATTGTCTGAGCGAAGACACTTCAAAGGTTTACCAGCCTGTCTCTCCACCATAACATGAAACCTTTTGAAGTATTGAAAAAATTCACCCTTCGTTCTCAAGAAATACACCCACAATTTTCGTGAAGCATCATCGATAAATGCCACGAAATATCTGCTACCACCGAGACTCTCCACTTCCATGGGTCCACATACATCAGAATACACCATCTCCAACACATTTTCTTTCAGCTTCGAGGTTTTGCTGAAAGACACTCTATGATGCTTCTCAAAGAGACAATAATCACAAGGATTTAGTTTTGAATCTTTGGCAAATGGAATGAGAGACTTTCTTGCCAAAATTTGTAATCCTTTTTCACCAATATGAGCCAGTCTTTTGTGCCACAAATTTGGCGAAGCATCATCTTCGACTGCATTCAATCCACCCTTGATCAGCCTCACTTGAGTTCTGTACAGTGTCGATCTCACTGTACCTCTAGCAGCTAACAATGATCCTTTGGTAAGCCTCCACGTGCCGTTACCAAAACTGTTAGTATAGCCTGCTATATCCAATGCATGCACAGAGATCAGATTCAAACGTAAGTCTGGTATATGTCGTACGTCCTTCAGTGTTATTGTGCACCCAATTTCGGTTTGAATGCTCACATCACCAACTCCCACAATATTTGCAACGCTGTTGTTGCTCATCTTTACTCTACCAAAGTCTCCTTCTTTGTATAGAGAAAAGAATTCCTTGTGAGAGGTTGCATGGTATGTTGCTGCTGAGTCAATGACTCATTCAACACATGAATCTGCAATGTGACATTCTTCTTCTTCAACAGAGAGCAACACCACTTCCCCATTGATCACAGGGGTTGCGGTATTTTCATCGTTCTCTGCCTTGTTGTTTCTCCAACCTCTGTTCTTCCAGGCTTTGCAGTTTCTTTTGATATGCCCTTCTTCACCGCAGTGATAACACTTGAACTTTCTCCTGGGTTGAGATAGTGATTTATCTCTGGTTTTGCTATTCCGGCCTCTGCTTTTACTTCTCCCCCTGGTTTCTGTAACCAGAGCTTGGGAGCTGCTTGCCCTTGAGTCTTTTCTCCTTGTTTCTTCATTAAACATACTGTCTTTGACTTGGGTCAAAGTCAGTTTTCCCTCAGGGGCAGAGTTGCTCAACGAGACCACCAGAGTCTCCCAGCTATCCGGTAAAGAACTCAAAAGTAACAGCGCCTGCAGCTCTTCATCAAGTTTCATTTCCATGGTAACAAGTTGGTTCACCATGTCTTGAAACTCATTCAAGTGTTCAGCAACTGATCTTCCATCCCGATATTTTAAATTTACAAGCTTTCTAATGACGAAAGCTTTATTCTGTACAGTCTTCCTCTGGTACATCTGTTCAATTTTGTTCCACAAAGTATGGGCTTTCGACTCTGTGGCAACATGGTGGAATATGCTGATATCCACCCACTGTCTGATTAAACTGACAACCTTTCTGTGTAACTTTTTCCAATCGTCATCCTTCACGTCATCTGGCTTGTTGTCTCCCTTTTCTACAGGATCGTACAGATCTTTGTAGAAAAGTATGTCCTCCATTTTTGGCTTCCAAATGGAGTAATTTGTTGCTGTGAGCTTCACCATGGTACCCACGTTCTCCTCCATTTAATTTATACGGGTCGATACAGAGCCCAACCTGTCTCTGATACCACTTGTTGGGCTCAGATGCGCAATGCGGAAGATGTAAATTAAAATATCAAGGTAAAATGGTGAATAATAATCTCAATCCCAGCAATTCAAGAATGACAAAAGAAAATCTCTTGCAATAAAACAGGAATAATTCTTTTCTGATGTGGAAGATCAGATTAAACTGCGACTACATAACATACTAAGAATATCCCAAATAAATAAAATATGCAAGAAATAAGACACCAAGATTTAACGTGGAAAAACCTCCAAATAGAGGAAAAAAACCACGGGACAACCTCCAAACAATTCCACTATATTTTCAAGATAATTACAATATCTTTTCACACTCCCTTACACTAGAAATGTAAAATATAGTGACCCAGTGAGACCCCACTCTTAAACAAGAAGTAATAGAGTTGATACCCAACCCGGTGTATTTTTTTCCCACACTCACAGGATTTACTCAGACACTCTATTTTTATCTCACTGAAAAAAAAAACACAGAAATATTTTTTCTGCTCTCATATTCTCTCTTTTTTCTTCTGCTTGGTGCATCTTTCATCTGCTCAAGACTCCCTATTTATAGGGAGAAAATGCTCCACTTCGTCAACATTTTTGGTAACCTGCACAACCAAAAAATTGTCCAACCACTAATAATTTGGCACACTAACCAAGATTTAATATTTTTCTTTAAATTTGGTGCCAACTTTTGTTTGTTTGATTGTGCACATGGGTTGGCTTAATTTGGCTGGATCTGACTGTAAGAATGATTGATTTAATATTATTTAATTATATTAATAATATTTATGATTGTGAGATTGAGTTAAAGTTGAGTTAAAAATGTTTTGAATTTTTTTGAGATAATTTTGTACCCAATCATGCTTAGGAGATTTGTGCTGACTACTGTAGATTGAAAAACAAAACAACACAAAAAAATAATCACAGATGATCTCTTCTTTTGGATCAATCAAATGAAGAATAAAAACAAAAGCTTTTTTTCTATCTCAGAACACATGTTTTATTTGACAACATTTTCCATTTTCTTTTATTTTTTATTTTTTTTGCTTCGCAAGCTCCATTCTTTTTGTTTCCGAGAATATGTCCGCGAGAACTGTGGTCAGGGTGTAATTGGACCACGAAAATTTGAAATTACACGATGATTATGCCTAGATGTGGGACCCACCCATGCAAATTTTTCAAAAAAGACTAACAAATAAAAAGCGGCTGAAGAAACCATTTTATGCAACATTTTCATCTTTATTCCTCGAATTTCTCCGTCTTCAATCCCAACTGATTATGCTTTGGACATCAAACTGCGATTTGTAAAATCGGTTATTTCAAATTGTGGGTTGAGACGATTGGGTGATGGGCAGCTGAAAACATGATAATTATCTCAAGATCATCCATGTGAAATTAGGTAAAGTTTCTATTTTTCTCTTTCTTTTTTTCTTTTTTCAAACTTTTTTCTTTTTTTTTTTTTCTGGATTTTGAACTTCAAGCTTTCGTGCGGTGTTTAATTTTCTTGATATGTTTTCAAAATTTTCTTTAAAGATTGTGGGTATGGCTGGAGGATGACATTGTTAAGATAAAAGGCTCTTTTCTTTTTCTTTGATGATTTTTTCACTTTTTGTGCGAAGATGAATCAAGCGAACGTTGTTTCAAAATGTTGTATTCACCGCTGTAAGTGATGAAATAGTTCATTTAATGCCTGTACACTTTGTGTTGAATGTTTTTGGCTGTTAAAGTTTGTGCATTTATGAGCTTTTCATAAAGCAAGTCTCTCTTGGATTAATTATTAGTTTAGGAGGTTTTGGAGTTTATTGGAAGAGTTTTGTGACTACCCTTTGTGATATTTATCTTAATTCTGAAGTAATATTCGGGATTTTTGAATTGAATGAGTTTTGTCTATTCCAGTAGAATGGTGAGGGGCGCCTGGGGTGACAGCACCTACGGTGAATTGAATTGAATGAGTTTTGTCTACATTTTTGTCTATTCCTTTCTTTTTATTTTTCTTTCATTGTTTTGTTTATCTTGGTTTTGGAGTAGTTTCACCTCTTAGCATCATATGCATCTAATAGACTGTCGTGAATTCAAATTTTATACTTGCTTGGTTAGCGAACTCCAGTCCTCAGTATCAGAGGTTTCGTTATGGTTAGTTAGCTCAGTATCAGAGGTTTCGTTATGGTTAGTTAGCTTTCCTGTCAATTTTTGGCGTCTTAATTGTTTTGCAATATATAATGCTGTTCTAGTTTTTCCGTAACACAGATAAATATCGTATTATTCTAATTTTTTATTATTTTTTTTTTTTTTCCAATGCTGGCTCTTACAATCATGTTCTCTCTTTTTGTTTGGCTCTTACAAATTTCCCTGGATTTTGCTTTT